AAATATATAAACACATATGTACAACACACAAATATACGTAGAAGCACACACAATATGAGCACACGTCTTCTCTATCACAAAGTTGTGTAACCTTGCACACACTCCTCACACTACTTGTTTCAACTGCGTGTAAGCATTGTATCGTCTTACAACAATGCAAGCACAGGTGACTGCAGGAATGAACTCTCATTGCAGGTACTTACACAAAAAGCGCTCTGATATTCAAAATCGCAAAAAGTCGCCCAATATTTTACTTCACTGATTTTCCTAAAACTTATATTACTGTCAGATGCAAAAATCAGATTGGACAAATTTGGACATTTTTACTTACAGTTATTTTAATTTTTTTACATAGTAAGTTTATTTACAATCTATGATATTTCCATATAAATAATTATATTTTAACTCATTTGTGGCACAGTGCAGCGGCGTGCCGGATGAACTGACCTCGCGGGCCGTAGTTTGGTGACCCCTGATCTAGAACAACGTCATTCCCATTACCTACAAGTAGTGTTAATACCAGTCATCAAATTTAATTCTTTCAAAATATTTTGTTCAGACTAAAGCAGTTTATCTGCTGGAACTATGTATGGTATATGACATCTGCAACAAGATCACAAATACGACTATTTTCTTGTTTTGGAAGGTCCATTAAAGAAAGGTGGGGCTGGGTCGCAGTTAAGGCATTAACTTAAAATATTAATCTGAATTTTATTCAGCTTAATAGAGAATGCTTTTATCACATTGTTTAGAGAAGTATTATTCTGACGCAACTTTTTTACTGTTACAATGTAGCCGAAAGTAGCTAAAAAAGCAGTGTTTATGAATGTCTCTCATTACTGTAGTCTTTTGTGAATTATCATTAAACTTCCACTTGTTTCCAGTCAGACTTTGAACATTTAAAAATAAAATTCATAACAGGTACCTTAAGTTCCCTACTCACTCTCTCTCCAGTATGTATTATTAAATGTTTATTTAAACCACTATTTATGTTTCCCTCACATTATACAACTGTAAGGCTTTTCCCTAAGTATATTATCTGATGTATTTTTAATAAGACTTCCTTCGAATTTTTTTCTATAAGCTACACAACAGTAAAGAAACTCATCAGTGTGTATGTTTGAGAAATTTTTAATTTACCATCTCCACAACTGTAAGATTTTCCCAGTATGTATTCTTTGATCTATTTTTTGTTCACTATTTATTGGTTTTTCACAAACTGCATAACCGTAAGGTTTCTTTCTCCCCAATGTGTCTGTGTGCTGTTTTGTTTTTCCTAAGGAATTATATATGTTTTAAAGTGTTTTCAACATCTACACAACTTTAAGGTTTCTCTCCAATGTTTATCGTCCTATGTTGTTTTGTTATCCACTATTCCAGTATTTACCAGACTGTACGGTTTATCACCACCCTGAGGTATATTAGAATTTTTTATGTTATTTTCAATTAAATTTGTTTTTGATGATTTGGTGATTTCTGTAAAGAGGTCTTCTTGTTTTAAAACTTAAAAACCAGGAAACTGACTTCCACAATAGATGTTCATATTGGTCTTTATCTAAACTCAATATAGATGATTCAACATAGTTAAAATATCATACATCGCTTCATATAATGAAGGTGCAGATACATTTTAATGTTCTAATACAATCACCACAAAATCAATATCAAAATATTAAAGGCAAAAAATATCTGTGATGCAGTTTTCATAGTTTCGCACTTTGTGTAACTTTTTTCCCTGGATTCAAAAGCATTGGAAACATAAACTGTTGGGTAAAAGACTACGTTCAACAGAAAACCTTGCAGTAGATAGTCTAAAATCAGTGTACAAATACTACGGTGTAGTGTCACAGCAACCAACTTAGAATAATTCCCAAAATATATCTTCTTTCTTCAAATGGAAGATTATCATGAAATCGTCTAGTACCCTGTCCTCTTAATGTGTTCATCAACATTAATACTTTAAAATACATTTTCAAAAGGTCTATATACAAGTTAAATATATATTTAGAAATTCCAAGATTTAGACAAAATGAAACTGTTTATCAGTATGTTATTCTTTTATCAAGTCTATCACATATTACCCTGATTAGAAACTGTATAATTGCAGCATTTAGCATGCTAAAATAACTGTTTGGTAGTTTGAGATCATTGAAGTTCCATAAAAGTTAACATTTTCTAACACTAAAAATGTATTTACAATAGGTACTTACCCCTTTTCACCCAAAGCTATCTTGACCTTGATTTGCTCTTTAAGCATTGTTAAAAATTTCAACAGCACCCCAGTCTTATACCCTTCATTTCTGCGCTAATGGGCAACATGTGCTGATCAAGTGACTACCTTCCACCAGTTATACTAGCGCAGGTACCTCCCTTTACCATTGAAGCACAATCTTCACTTTCGAGAATTGACAGATACAAATCAGAAACACTGGCAAATTAGTGGGAAGGAAGGGCAGGAATGGGTGAGAGCAGGTAAGTACCTATCAGACATACATTCGCAGTGTTAGAAAATGTTAATGTCTAAAACTGTACTACCTCCTCTCACCCAAAGTTAGAATCCCACATTGCAAGGGTGGAGGGGGCCAGTGAAGGCACAAAGGTAATCAAACAAGCAGAGAACTGCCAATGTGAAAGAACAGGTGTGCCACAGTTATCAAAGGAGACACACTTGTGGGGTATAGCACTACTTCTGAAACAGGTATGCTCTTTGCCCAGTAACAAACAAACAAACATAGGTCAGAACTTAATAGACAGGCACCATGTCATGTAGTACAGATTCCACCCATGGACAACAGATAGTACGTAACATATTCACATATGTAACAAGCAAGAGTTAGGAATACTATTTGGAAAGTCGAAAGTATACAAAGAAAATATGGTTTAAAAACTCGTGTCAAGAGCTAAATGTTCAGTTCTCTCTTGGAGGAATCAAGGTTCTCCCAAAATTGCTGACAGTCCAGAAACCATGAACATGAAAGTATCTAATCTCCAACGTTTTACCAGGCCAACCTTGTTTTAAATAGTGAAACCATTTCTGTCTTAGTCAGTTAATATAATGTTTGATAGATTATAAAAAGAATCATATAAAAATTTAAGAGAGTAAAATATTTTATGTGAGAATTAAGAATATCAGTATTGTTTAACCTGAACGTGGTTTATGATGAGTTAAGGAATGATTGAAGTCTATGTTATTAAAAGTATATCTCATATTATAAAAACTTGAATAAACTTGTTGTATTGTGTTGAACGTCAGTCTCAGAATCAGTTTCTTTATTCTATCTGTACATCTCTCAGAGTTAGAGACTTGTGAGCTCCACTCGCTTCTCCAATTTTCAACTAAATAAATTTGGTGTAGTCGGCAGTACAGTCGAAACTCCAACGACTAGCCCTGAGGACACTGTTCATTACACAGCCTAACCAGATCAAAGGAACAACAAAAAGCTAATCAGGGGTGAAATATACAGGAACTAACTGGATTTGTG